GTGGCGGGCCCCATAGGGTGGGGGCTCCCGCCTGAGACTTCCTCGCAATTCACTTGCAGGCGAGGCTCCCGCGTGATACGTCCCCCATATTCAGGCTTCACGGGTTCAAAACCGGACAGTTACAGGGATGGGGATGGCGCGCTCGGATTAAAAAACGTGAGTGCGGGCCCCATAGAAAAGGGCTCCCGCCTGAGACTTCCGTGCGCTTCACTCACAAACGAGCCTCCCGCCGGATAACTTCCCCCATATTCAGGCGTCAGAAGCCAAAAAGTGACGGCAGTTATAGGGATGATGATGACCCTCTCGGATTCGAAAAATGAGGTGCGGGCCCCATAGGGAGGGAACTCCCGCCTGAGATCTCCTCGCAGTTCACTCATAGACGAACCTCCCGCCTGATACTTCCCCCATATTCAATCTAGCGAACGAGTGGGTGAGTGAGTGAGTGATTGAATGACCGATTGAGTGATGATGATGATGATGATGATGATGATGATGATGATGATGATGATGATGATGATGATGATGATGATGATGATGAGGAGGGTGATGCAGATGATGAATGAGTGGGTGAGTGAGGGTGTGATCGAGTGATGGTTAAGGTGATCACGATGGTCTGTGTGTGAGTGAGTGTGAGTGTGAGTGAGTGAGTGTTCCTGTGTGTTCCTGCGCGAGGTGTCCAGAGAAAACTATTCAGACGGAGAGACCCCACATGCAAATCCTTTTGGCTTATCTGGAAATAACCTTCACGGTCGTCCTCGCGGTGAGTGAGGCGCCTTTACTGTCTTCTGTGCGTCATTCTCATTCTCGCCCTGGCGCAGGGCCCTCACCCGCTCCCCGCGTTGCCCTTGCCTCGCCCTCCTGCTCTTTGTTTCGGCACCCACCACCTCCTCTCTTTTCTATTGCAAGAACGTGCGCGTCGAGTTTCCTCGACGCCGTCGCCGCTTCGGCCAGCGCGGGCGCATTCTCGAATGGCCGCGTCGCGCGGCCGTTGGGACAACCCCGCGGGTCGGGCCGTTGGGGTAATCGCCTGAGTTGCTGGGGCGCGGGAGTAAGCCATTGGGATCATTTTGCATGTGTTGAGCTAATCACGGCCGCGCTCAGGCGGGAGGCAGCACGAAACCAAACTCTGCGGCGAGCTGCTCGGCCTCATCCCTGGAGCTTTCCGCTCTCCCATCGAACTTTCCGAGCGCCTTCCGCAAGGATGCCGGCGGCCCGCGCTCCATAAACTCCCGCGTGGGCGGCCGCAGGATCAGCATGTTCCGCATGCGCGTGGCGCGGGAGAGCATGACGTAGAGGTGCAACCGCCAGTGGTCGGCCGACATGCCCGTGCCGCCAGCGTCCACGTCATTCGCGCAGTCGATGGTGACGCCCTTGCGGAGCGTCTGGCCCTGCGACAGCGTGGAGGTGAGGTAGGGCGCGTGAGTCAGAATGGACCCCGAGCGGCGTACGGTGTGCGGCCCCGAGTTCTGCCACGTGAGTTCCTGTTCGCTAGGCCTGCCACGCTACCACCCCGGGCCCAGACGCAAGGGTTCCCCCGTACGCCCGATTCGGCTGACGATGGGTTACCGCCGCCAGCCCGGAAACAAGGGTTTCCCCCTGCCCCCGATCCGGCTGACGATGGGCTACCGCAGCCAGCCCGGAGACAAGGGTTCCCCCCCTGCCCCCGATTCGGCTGACGATGGGCTACCACCGCCAGCCCGGAGGCAAGGGTTTCCCCCCTGCGCCCAGCCGCCGTCGTCGTCCCCAACTCATGTTCCTCTTCCTCTTTACCTGATGGGTGGGGCGAATCGCCGCCTGAAGATCGCATAAGGAGGGGACTTCCGCTTGAGATTTTTTCACGGGTCACTCACAGACGAGGCTCCCCGCCTGATGCTTCCTCCGTATTCAGGCTTCGGGAGCTACAGGGATGAGGATGACCCGCTTGTATGAAAAACATCAGGTGCTGGACCCACAAGGAGAGGGTTCCCGCTTGAGACTTCTTCGCAGTTCGCTCACAGACGAGGCTCCCGCCTGAATTTTCCTCATATCCAGGCGTCAGGAACCCAAAGGTAACGACAGTCACAGGGATGAGGATGACCCGCTCGGAATTAAAGCGTGAAGAGGGGCCCCATACGGAGGGGGCTCGCGCCTGAGACTTCCTCACTGTTCACTTACAGACAAGGTTCCCGCCTGATATTTCCTCCATATGCAGGCTTCGGGAGCCCCAAAGTGGCGACAGTTACAGGGCTGAAGATGACCCGCTTGGATTAAAAACATCAGGTGCTGGTCCCACAAGGAGAGGGTTCCCGCCTGAGACGTCCTCGCAGTTCACTCACAGACGAGGCTCCCGCCTGATACGTCCCCCATATTCAGGCTTCAGAAGCCCAATCGTGACGACAGTCCCAGGGATGAGGATGACCCGTTCGGATTCAAAACGTGAAATGCGGGCCCCTATAAGGGGGGTGGCTCCCGCCTGAGACTTCGTCACGGTTCGCTCACAGACGAGCCTCCCGCCTGACACCCCCCCATATTCAAGCTAACGAATGAGTGGGTAAGTGGTGAGTGAGTGAGTGAGTGAGTGAATGACTGAATGAGTGGTGATGATGAGGATGATACAGATGATGAGTGAGTGGGTGAGTGAGTGTGTGATCGAGTGATGGTCAAGCTGATCAATATGGTATGTGTGTGAGTGAATATGAGTGTGAGTGAGTGAGTGTTCCTGTGTGTTCCTGCGCGGGGTGTCCAACGTGGGGAACAAGAACCCCACTTTTTGGATGTGGGGAATGATAACGATGATGATGGTGGTGATTGTGATGTTTATGTAGATCATGGTGCAGTTGATGATTCGGTTGATGAGAATCTGATAGCGGTGGTGGTGGCACATTGAATGAATAGAGAGTGAGGAAAAGCGGGAGGATTGAGGATGATGACGGCGAGGGGAAGGATTTTTTGGACTCAGCCTGGCGTTACATCAGTTGTATGCTGTCATTGCGCAAGGGCGCAGGAAGAGGTGCCATGCCTACGTGCTGCTGACGGGGAGGCTGCTGCCGCGTCGCCCCTTTGCACAGTGGCCATATTGGAAGTTTCCCAGATACAGGGTGGCCTCTGCTGGTGACAGGGGGAGGACGAGGGAAGGGGACAACTATCCATCTGAAAGGGCAGGAAAAAGAGTGGGGCAGCAGAGCCAAGGCGACTCGCTGCCCTCCAGGGCAAGCGGAGGTTAGGCGCTCGAAAGCAGCGTGGGGGCCCTGAGGGGCTGCCCAGCGGCCCGGTGGCATGGCCGCGCCACGCGCCGTTTTGCCTGGTGCAGCAGACAGCAAGTGGGCGTCAAAAGGTGCCCGAGTGGGCAGTCGAGACCCCCCTGGGGTAAAGCTTAGCTACCTGTGACAGGCGGGGGGAAAGCGCAAGCTAGTGGTGTCCCGCGGGCAGGGAGGGGAGGAGCGTGTAACGAGGAGAGGGAGGATGACACAATCGAAGGTGGCTTAAGCCATCGCGCCTCCGCGCGAGTCTTAGCCTGCCGTCCCGTGTTCCTGGTCAGGCAGGCTGTGCCTCTCTCGAGAGCTGCTCGGGCCCTGGTGCAACGTAAGACGTGGCGCATGGCATGGATGCCTGGGGAGGCGGCCCCATGCAGAGGTCATGCCTCGGGGACGCCGCAATCTCCCAGAGATCTCCGAGGAAAAGTGTGAGGTTGCAACCATCGGTGTTCATCAGCCGGGGAGGGGGGAGGAGGGAAGGTATGAATGGAGAGTGCAGGCGAGGATGGAGGTCTCCAGCCGCAGTGCGACTGGGCATGCGCCTCGGGAAAACAGAGGCGAATGCGGAGCCACCAGGCCCTGCGCTTTTTCAAAGAGCAGCCTTGTGCGAGACTCTCACCCCCATGATCCCCCCCCTGATAATGAATACCAAACTGCTAGGACGTGCGCGGTAAAGCGTCAAGACATGCCGCGCGGACCTCTGGGGAGACGCGATCGCGCAGAGGCCGTGTCTAGGGGGACAGCAATCTCCCAGAGACCTCCTTAGGGGAGGTGTGAGAGTGCAAGGCCAGGAGCACCTGGGGGTAGAGGAGGATATTGGGCGGGAGCCGACCTGCCGCGAAGAAAGTGCGCGAGCTGCAGCACCAAAAGATCAAATAGTCGCGTGCTAGCCTTCCCATTCTCTTTGGCAGGCTTCGAAGCCGCGTGTTGCAGACTCGAGAGCTTCGAGCTCGATGCCCGGAGGACGAGGCAGGCAGGAGGAGAGTCGAACAGGCGAGGAATGAGGTGTCCAGTATGCAGTGCAACCAGACACGCCAGGGGAGGGAAGGTCGGTGGCAACGATAGGGGGGAAAAGATATAGGGGGGATGCATCGACCCCCAATCGCCCATTGATCGCCGATACATGCCCAATTGCCCCACTCCGCCCAGGAAGGTGCAAACTCACTATCGGGGGCCTATCGCCGATCTATCGACGATGTATCGCCGGTTCCAGGTCGATGCATCCCCCTTTATACCTCTCCCCCCCTAGCGTTGCCCCTCAGGGGGAGGAGGGAGGACGTGGCCTCTGCAAGGCCCTGCGGGGCGGCAGCGGGGCCCGAGGCCAAG